AACATTCGCGGAGTTCCCCGATTATTCGAGAAATTCACCACGCATGCTCCCAGCGTCACGTAACTTCCGCCGTCTTACAGTATTTATTGAGGATTTCTTTGGTTTGAAATATTCGAGGGAAGCTACTCAAGAGCTGTCTGTGCTAGCCGTTCCTAATTTTGATGGACAGACTAGAGGGATGGCAGCTAGTTAACAGTACCCACTGCCAACTTTTAAGCTACTCTAATCAAATGGTGGAACTTGACCGTCTCTTCTAACGAACCTAAGGCCCGAAGTGCGGAAACCACCTTTGTGGAAAGAGAACGCGAAGCATAGACCCTCGTATCCCCAGTCCAGCACGCTAACTTTAAAGGGCCACACCCGTCTTCTAGTTAATGGGGATTACTGCCTGTATGTCAAGCGAGTTTTCGCGCATGCGTACTTATAGAATCGGAAAACTGCTAAAGAAACAAAATCCTTACAAAGTGAAACTGAACATAAAAAAAATTCACAGTAAAAATGCATACCAAGTTTGGTGTATTTGGATTGATTGTTGCTTAGCAAGATAACATAAAATAAGTTCAGATGGTTGTAGAAACAAATCTGGACAAAGGAATTCAAGAATGTAGAAGTTAAAAACATAAAGAACAAATTGAAAGCTCATTTTTCGATCTTGTAAGAGAGGTACATTCATTTCGCAATTAACCAAAGCTGTGGTTGTTTCTGTTTGGTGCTGTGGTTGTTTCTGTTTGGCGTGTGATTAATAAACGTCTGAACGATCCAGATTTACCCGTGAACTGAAATTTATTGCTTGTGGGAACATAAAAATAGGAAATTTAACTAAGAAACCGATGAATATTATCAAAAATATTCTATACTTAAGCTTTTCATAGGATTAATGAGCCTAATTCTTTGTGTGGTAATTGTTAATCAATTTGTCGTGAAGTTTCAAATGTATAGTGTTGACAATAAGATTTTAATTTTAGTATATTAAGTTGAATGGGTGACATTTAATTCAGAACATTGTAGACTTATAAGGAAATTCTTTTAAAAGGACACATTGAATAGATTTAAAAAGATATGTAAATGGTCAGGTAGATCAATAATTTATTAGATTTTTATTTATTTGTAGGTCAGGCCTGGAGAGCGTGCCTCAAAATGCTAAGGTTCATTATAACTACGCTAACTTAGAAAAGGACTTGGGAAACATTGAACTGTCTAAGAGACACTACAGAACTGCGCTCAGGTAAACATGGATTGAACAATAAACAATGTTTGATGTTAAAGAACTGCGATCAGCTAACCTCGGATCTAACAATAGAACAATATTTGAAACTACAGAACTGCGCTTAGCTAAACTTGGAACAAACAATAGAACAGTGTTTGGTGCTACAGAAGTAAACTAAGCTAAACTTGGATGAAACAACAGAACAGTATTTGGTACTACAGAATTAAACTAAGCTAAACTTGGATCAAACAATAAAACAGTGTTTGACACTAAGCTCAGGTGATCTTGTATGAAACAATAATAATACATTATGCTGCACTACAGAACTGCGCTCATGTGGACTTGAAATGCTTAGAAATGTTTTAAATTTGGCCAAATTAATAATTAAAAAAAGACTTGAAAAATATTTATTATTTTTCGTTTGTTGTTATTTTTACAAAAAATATGTTCTACAGTATGTATATATTTTTGGGATACGTTAATACGACCTGAAGCTCCACATTTGATATCTCTATTACTACCTCAACATAAGCAGAATAATTAGTGAAGGTATTTCCGTTAAAAAAAATGTACTCATGTATTTACTTGATGTTTAACTTCATTAAGTTATCACGTAATTATCTTTAAATCATACTAATAAAACTACAAACTAAGTGAGCGCATTGTCGGTTGGGAAAATATTGTCGTTATTTACAGAAATTGTTATATTTCGTGACAAAACTGTCACGAGAAACGGAAGGTATATGCTAATGCTTTGTAAACGTGGTCTTACTGTATAGTTTAAATTTATATTTGCAGCTTGTGGCCGAGTCACGCCAGCGCACACAACAATCTGGGAACACTACTCACCGATCCAATCGAAGCTGAATATCACTTTAAAGCTGCTATTTCTATAAATCCTTTTCATGCCAGGGCCTACTTCAATCTTGCCAACCTGCACAGGTGAGATATTAATAGATAGTGTCATCTTAGTTTAGCAAACTTTCTCCAATTAAACTAGCAAAGAAATATTTTCCAATATTACCTCTCCCTTATAATAGATGACAACTATTAGCATATAATAACTGATCTTTAACCGTTTTCTTTGACAAGTGTCCAGGTTTCTTTCTTGATCCAATCTTATGTTTTTTAACTGAATAATAATGTCAAAGAAGCGGTCTAGTGTAATTTGCTCAATTAATTGCGAAAGTTCACATAATACTTATCACTAGAATACCTGTAACACACAGTAATTATCACTAGGTTAGCAGGAACACACTTAATACTTATTACTAGAATACCTGTAACACACAGTAATTATCACTAGGTTAGCAGGAACACACACAATACTTATAACTAGAATATAAGAAACTTACATAATACTTATTACTAGAATACCTGTAACACACAGTAATTATCACTAGGTTAGCAGGAACACACATAATACTTATAACTAGAATATAAGAAACTAGGTTAGCAGGAACACACATAATACTTATTACTAGAATACCTGTAACACACAGTAATTGTCACTAGGTTAGCGGGAACACACATAATACTTATTACTAGAATACCTGTAAAACACAGTAATTATCACTAGGTTAGCAGGAACACACATAATACTTATTATTAGAATATAAGAAACTTACATAATACTTATCATTAGAATATCAGGATTGTTAATAACATTAATAATGAGACTTTAAAATGAAAGTCTACCGTATTGTTGCTCTAAAAGTTTAAACTTAAAAGCTTGAGAACTCGGAACTATCAGAAGAAGATTGTGAAATGCTGTGTTTCTTAAAACAATTGTAAATATTTCCCAGACCTCTAAAAGTGAAGCGCCACCTCAAAGTGGAAGAGAAAAAGTTTATATATATAGTTTAGGTATCAAATGAAAACGTAAAGAATAAAACAAACCATACAATTTCATTTTAAATTTGGTGACACATGACAGTTTCGTCCTGTGAAGTGATTAGTTGGCAGTGACACAAGACAGTTTCGTTCTGCGAAGTGATTAGTGAGCACACGACACAGCCATAAGCAAAGATGTAAAATGTTTAATTAATCTGCGTGCAAAAGATTTCTAAAAAATGTAAATTTGCATGGTTATTTTCTGTTTTATTCAGTAACCTATTTCTGATCATATTAACTCTGAGGAGAAAAAAGGACATTGTAAGCCAAGACTAACTACTCTTAGGTTTATTTACTATTATAATATATTTCCATTGTCATTCTTAATTTTCTTTAGGCCTAATCTTCTAAATTTCAGTTTTTCCAACTTCAAAGTTCTCAAACTCTTACCTAACTCTACGTTTTATTTTCAGATTAAATTAGAATTTAACTCTGGCTTTACATTTCAAGGTTTGTAAACCCAAAACTATTTTAGCAGTTTTTGTCTCTTCTATTTCTAAGAGAAGTTTCAAGATATAAAAGAGACAATAAAAATGTAATAAAAAACCAACACCTGGTGAGACAGATTAATGTTCATGTGCAATTACATGTAAACACATAGATAAATATAATAGATATAAAGAGCATCATTTTCTAATTAGCTTTGAAAATTCAAAATGAAGCACTAAGCCTCAAACAATGTTATTTTAGATTCGTTCGTTGAGGGAAGATTGAAACACTGTCGACTTTTAAAGAAAGGAATAGCTTTTCTTGTAAAGTTGGATAAAACTTGATAGAGTGGTACACCACATTAAAAAATAATAATACAAATATTTTATTGAAGACTATCTTTATAGTTGTAAGAAACAAAAATAGTAATTTTCTTAAAATTAAAGTTCAAAGCTACTTGGAAAAAAAGTCCAGTGCTATGCATGTTTATTTCATTCTGGTTTCAGTAAGCAGGATAAGAAAGAAGAAGCGGAAGCCTACTTGAAACAAGCTATCGACATAGATCCAGGTTTTGCTGAAGCTTACTCTGCTTTAGCTTCTCTTTATGCCGACCTTGGTCATATGATCGATGCAGAAAAGCTCCATCTAGTGGCGCTTAGTATAAGTCCACACAACGTCGATGCTCTTAATAATTATGGCGTTTTTATCCAGAGTTTAGGTTAGTACATTGAATACTATTGAAACCTTGATTCCGAATTATTTCAATTAATAAAGTTAAAGCAAAAATATTTTTTGACTATTATTCGAGTCGGTATATTTTATATTTATATAATGAAAAATATTGAAATTAACAGTACTGGGTTATGGAAACACATTTTGTCAAGGCGAAATAAAATAGGATATGTAAATAATAACTTGTAATAACGGAATAGATTAGAAAATAATTATTAGGTTATGCATTTTTTATTCACTAAAGCATTCGTTCGATATCGGTAATAGAAATTATCATGCCTGTGTAGTAATTCATTTTTTCTGAAGAAGTAAAAAATGGAAACTGTAGTTTATGGTCAATTAACATGGCTAGAGAGGCTCGTCAGATTTCATACTTATAAACCAATGAAGTGGAGTCTGAGATCTGGAACATTCAAGACTTAACAGGTTAGTTAATTAAAGAATACATTTAGTAAGCACAATCGGATTTTAATACTGCCTAGTTTCAGTTTTCAGTTCTTCAAAAGAATTTAGAAGTATCTTGGAATGATATATAAACCTTAGCATTACTATACAATAGTAATTCTATATACCTTATCTATACCTTGTTTATTCTTTCCTTTTGGTCAAAATTGAAATATAACTATTAGATTATTATTATTTTATTATCACAAAACTGTAATAATTGTTTTATTTAATAACTTTGTTTTTATAATCAAACTTTCATTTAAATATTTTTATCATCTATAAACTTGTAAATAAAAATGAACATCTATTTTCCAGGTCGTGAAGATGAAGCTGTTGAGTTTTATCAACGTGCTGTTCAGATTAACCCTAACCATACGGTGGCGCTGCTCAATGCAGCGAGGACACTGCGTTCCCTAAAGTATATAGATGAAGCAAAACAATTATATAAAAGGTTTATTATATGAATATAATTCTTTGAATACTTTTTCCCTCTCAAATGAAATAAATGAGCACTTGTTATATCTTTGCTTCATAGTATCTAAATATCCTTATTACGTCTTTGTCGGGTCTGGCATGGCCTGGTGGTGAAGGCGCTTGACTCACAATCTGAATCCCCGTTACCGCACATGCTCACTCTTTCAGTCGTGGGGCGTTATAATGTGACGGGCAATCCCACTATTGATTGGTAGAAGAGTAGCTCAAGGTCTTGCGGTGGGTGACATTGACTAGCCACCTTCCCTCCAGTCTATCACTGCTAAATTAGGAACGGCTGGCGCAGATAGCTTTTATGTTTTTTTGCGCGAAATTCAAACCAAACTACATTATTGAATGTAATGCAAGGAAGAGGTCCGGGCGAACCTGACTCTCCCAGGTCTGCAAATATCTAAATTCCGATGCCGACTGATGATATGGACACCATTTTTGCTTAGGTGCTTCTTATCGATAATATCATAACGCCATCTACGGAACACGGCTTTTTTTATCTTTGAGTGCTCGAAGTTTCAGTGTTGAAACTATATGGAAATATGTGTATAGAATAAAGGTCAAGTTTACGTAGATTAATAAGAGTTTAAATGAGCATTGTTGATAAAGTAAATTTTAACACAATTACATTTGTTGCTCAGTTTATGTTTCATTTTGCAAATAACATTATTCAAAATACCTTTTCTAACGTGGATTCTTTGTTATCATTATTATCATTATTATTTATAGAAAGTGTTCTCTTCCTTTATATCACAGCCGTCCCTAATTTGGAAGGCTAAAAGTATTGTTTGCTTGTTCATTTTTAGCGTAAAGCTACACAATGGAGCCACGGATTTTAGTGCTCTAAGTCCATAAACTTACTGTTGACCCAACGGGGGAAGAAACGCAGCTAGTCATTAGCATCTACCAATCAGTTCTTAAGTTACTCTTATCTGATCCATTATTGGGATTTGACGGTCACTCTTATGTCGAATCCACAGCCTCAAAGTGCAGAGAACGTTTCTGCGGCAACGGATTGGGAACCAAGATCCACGGATTCACAATCCGGACACGCTACGACTAAGCTACGCTCTGCCCGACTAAAATTAAAAAAAAAAAAATTACACACACGATTACCAATCCGAATTCAGGAAGTAGAATCACGTTTACTCTTGCTTTATCTTGGGATTTTAAAGTTTAAAAAACCGATTTGAAATTGTAATCGAAAGTCGTAGAGTAGCGAAGTAGGCTTAGCGATTATGTGCATATTTTTCTCTGAGTTCAAGGAAACGTTTGGGTGTTATATAATTTAGATAAGCATGTATAGATAGTAATAAATAAAGTTTTGTATAATAAATATTTAATATTCAAGAGCGCTATCCAGCTTATTTTATATTCTTAAGTTAGAAAAAAAGAGGAAACTTAACGTGAACACATCTGTTTTCTTCTCTTTGTTAAAATGTAGTTTCTGTATTGAAAAATATTGATTTTATAAAGACTGTTGTATTTCAAAGGCTTTTCTGAAGTTTATCATTTCAAAGAGTAAGCGATGGCATGAAACTTGGAATACTACTGTATATATATATCAGCCTTCAATCATTACTAACCTTTGTTTAAAAAACAGTTTACTATTTTATCAGTTTTGTTTGAAAATACAGAAACAAGAAATATATTAAGACAGGTGGCTCTGTTCTCGTATCTTTTAGAGTTAAACCTAATTCAAATTCTTTTCCACGAGTTCACACAGAACTGGTTAGGCTCCGAAATGAACTACTCTCTTTATATTTGATTGAAAGCAGATCTCAACAGCAACGTGTGTCTCCAGAACTTACGTGTTTTACTAGTACATAAGAAGCTTAGAATAAAGGGTGTAAAAACATTATACGTTCTTCCTACAGAACGTATGCCATGAAAAATACTATCTGTCTATATCTATCTATCTATCTATGAAAACGTCAGGAACACCTGCTTCCTGTGTTACTATAATAAATATATTGAAATTTTCTTGTGAAAAGGTTTATATCTGTAGGTTTGTAAACGCCACGAGCCCGCGTGTTTAATCGCACCCGTCATTAGCAATATTTCATTTACTCTAATCGATACGCCTGCGAACTGGGATATTTTGCTGTTAATTTCTTAGGGATCAAGAAATCTCACATCAAATTTGAAAAAAATAAAAACACGAAAAGAACGAATCTGAGTTATTGTATAAATGAAGGTGGATTGAAACATAAAATAAATATTGTAAACAGTGAAGGAACCTTAAGACACAGTATATGCTGAACTTTTGCATACATAAAAGTATTTTTTATCTTTCTTTTGCTATTGTGTCTGAACGTTTAGAAAATTCTTGGCTCGTTATTTGAAGACTTTTTGATTTGTAATTTAGAAATAAAAACAACGTTATTCGAACGTAGAAACATAATTTCTGCTTTATATTCCACGTTTTCACTAAAACATCGAACTTAGAGTGCCTTTTACGCCGTAATATTCAATAATGTTACGTTATGAGACACATCTCAAGTGTAGTAAAAATATTGTTTAACTGAACAGCCAGAGGACTGAGCGTCTTTGACTCTTGAGAGTTATAAAATCCTGTTGATTTTAATCTGAATTTATTTTGTTTCAGAGCTCTAGAGATAGATGAAGATCCCCAGGTCATGGACAACCTTGGAACTTTGTACCTAAAATCTGGACGTTTTCGGGAGGCTCACAAACTCTACGGCCAATTGATCAATAAACACGAAAGTTATTTGGAAGGAAAAGTACATTATGTAAGAATAAATACGCACCACTGACGTTTTGTTTTATATTTTCAAAGATTCATAATAAGGAAGACACGTAAGCTTTGTTACCAATTCATTTTAATATTCTATCTACATCCAGGTAGACTACCGAACAACTTTGCAAAAACGCTAATATTCAGGAATGTAAAGTGTGTGCGAAGAGGAATGTACAGTGTGTATGAATAGTTGGATTATGCAATCGCTTTCAAATATGTTTAATAATGTTTTATTTCAATGGAAATTCAAAATAAGATTGGCATTCACGGTTTACTGTCCACAATATAACAAAAGAAGTTTGGTACAATTTTTTCGCAGGCGCAGCTCCTGATGCAAGAACGAAGCTTTTACCAGGCCGAAGAGTTATTGTTGTCAGTGCTCAACAACAACGCCACCTACCGAGAAGCATTTCATCAACTTGCCGTGCTCTTCATCCATACAAACAAGACTTCAGAGGTATAAAACTACTTTTAAAGGACATTTTAACTGCTGTCCCTTTCTAGATTGGTTTGTTTTGAATTTCGCGCAAAGCAACACGCGGGCTATCTGCGCTAGCCTTTCCTAATTTAGTAGTGAAAAACTACAGGGAAGACAGCTAGTTCTCACCACCCACTGCCAACTCTTGGGCTGAAAAGGCGAGCATACTTGATGGGATGGGGATTCGAACCCACGACCCTCAGATTGCGAGTCGAGTACCCTAACCACCTAGCCATGCTAGGCCGTCCCTTTATAATCCATGCCACTGCGAAATATATGTTGTACCCTCAAATTTTTTTGTTTATTGTTTACAACCCGTGGGGTGCACATATTGCATAGTGCTTGTTGGGACACTCAGTGTGAAGAAGAACTGACGAAACAAATTTCTTATTTTCTATGTAAGGTACATAAGTAACATCAGCAGTATTAGTGATATTCTTTCAATGTTCATGATATTTTCTTTATTTACGTTCCTACGTGTGCCTCAAGTTTTGGGAACCCTGTAATCGACAAAAGCGATATGGAGCATAAATATTTTTAAAAAACGTGTTTCTAAAACTGGTGTAGTCCTAATGAACCCAATAGGTAATCTAGGGTTACGCTATTTTTAATTCCAAACCAAATATTAGCTTATTCCAAATGGGACTTTAACAGGGAAAGTGCAAGCAAAGACAAAGTATAAAAACAAGAACTTTATTTTATTAGATTTATTACAACTTTCGAAGAAGTAATAGGTATGGTTATTATATATATCTTATACATCATTTACTTATGTGTTTTCCAATCTAACCATATTTTTTATTCTTTTCTTTGTGTCCTAACCACGTAAAATTCGGTAGAAAGACATTAAAAGTAAGGAACCATTAAGTTTTATCACTAGTGGTTTTATTTTTCTTTCTACGTGCCATATTTTATATAAACATTTTAAAAAAATTGAACTTTTTAATGTAAAATCTTCAAGAATGTTATTGCAATTTATTTCATTTGCGTTAATTGTAAGTTAAAAGAAATAAAGCTGAAGAAAACAATACTGTATTCAGTTTGTTTGCAAGAATGGATGTGAGAAATAACAACCCAATAGTACTTGCGAAATCATACCTTATTTTACATCCAAGTGAATGTTTCTCATTATAGTTAACCATAGAACATTGTTTTTTGTTGTTTTTTTGCCTTTATCGACATCATGCACGCAAAATTGCCATTTACACTGTTTGTGATCGTTCATCAGATAACAGAACAGAATAAACATTATATAACAGTGAGAAACCAGAGCGTTTGTTTAAGGAAAGAAACATTGCTGGTTTCAAATTTTGTATCTTGGGGAAGTTTTATTTTTTATTTCTTGTTTATTAAACGATTTGCAAGCAGCGTTTGATAAGAGTTAGTTAGCTAAGGATCTATAGCTAGTGACCCGATTGGCTAATCAATGACATATAAACAGTGACTGTCTTCGCCAATGACGAATAACTAGTGATTTGATTGCTCTAAAATGTATAACGATGATAATATTGGTTAAGAATATATGACAATCGACCAATATGGCTAATTCTATTTAGCAAGTGGTCAAATTAGCTAATAATATTTTTAAATAATGTATACTAACTGATCATACTAATCAATCATACTATTAAATAATGTATACTATATAAAATCATGTAGGGTGGCATGATGTTGCATAAACTCTCTCAGAATGTGTTCCGCCATTCTCAATCAGCACATCATGCCTATCCCTAAATCATTGCAAACGCCATACGTCCCAGACGCGTTAACTGATGCTTGCATTATTCAACACACTGACACGCATTTTATTCAGCTTTACAATTTCTTATTATTAAAGAAGAGAAATAAAAGCAACGCTAAGTTGCGAGAAATGGAATTAAGAAACGCAGTATAATATAATTTTGAAACACCTGTTCCATGTCCAAAATTTCCTGAATAAAACTCGGGCTTCTCAGTGTGCCTCTGATGAAAATTTGTTCCCCTGCGACAAGTATTTTTAAAGATATAATCATTTAAGTTAAAGTTTTTGTTTTACTTTCTAGAGTAAACACAACATCTAATGAATAATTGGAAGTGCTTACTTATGAAGAAATATGTAATAATTCAATGTATATATATAATTAAAGGAAGAACCCCGTTATGCAAAACTTAAAATATGTTGTAACCACAGATATTATATTCTGTATATCCGACAATTCAGTCTATAATCAGAATTCAACTTAGAGTTAATGTTTTATTTTCATTTTAATTATTAAAGTTAAGTCTGAATCGTTTTCATAATTAGTTAGGTTTCAGAACCATGTGTTTCTGTCTATGTTGAAAATTTTCTCAGTTGGTGAAGTCTCTAATATTCCACTGAAACAGGTAACTGACGTATCTGAAATATCGGTTACACTTATCTGCCAAGTTAAGTGTCAGAAGGGAAGTCTCTAACATTCCACCTAAACTTGTAACTGATGTATCTAAACTATTGGTTACACTTAACCTCCAAGTTGCGTGTCAGAGAGCCGATTCCGTGTTGTATAAAAAACTGCTATGACTGACGTAAGGATAATAGCAAAATTGGTTTTACATTTAGGGCCTAGAAAATATACTTCAAGCACTCCGTCTTTGTCACGTGACCGACAAATCCTGCGCTCAACTTTACGTCAGCCATGGTGATCTTATGAAGGACATGGGTGATCTGGAGACTGCAGCACAGGTAATGGTTGAATTGATGATTGATTATAAACAAGGACAGTCAGAAATATAGCTCTGCCTTTATTATAAATTGAAACAGTCACAGGTAGGACAGTCACAAATATAGCACTACCTTTATTATAAGTTGAAACAGTCACAAATATAGCTCTACCTTTATTATAAATTGAAACAGCCACAGGTAGGACACTCACAAATATAGTTCTACCTTTAATATATGTTGAGACAATCACAAGTAGGACAGTCACAAATATATTGCTACCTTTAATATAAGTTAAAACAGTCACAAATAAAGCTCTAGCATTATTATAAGTTGAAACAGTCACAGGTATGACAGTCACAAATATAGCTCTACCTTTATTATAAGTTAAAACAGTCACAAGTCAAACTGACGAGTGGCTTACGAACAGAGACAGTGAAGAGAAAATGATAAGTGAAACGTGGGTCAAACTGCCGATTTTATTATAACTAGGAACAGGCATAGTTCAAAGGGATGCTGTTAATCTAACTAGAGGCTGACATTGGTCAAGCTGGCGATTTTATTATAATTAGAGACAGACGTTGGTTAAAATGAAGATTTTGATAATAGTAGGGATGAATGCCAGTCATATCGATAGTATAACTTAAGTGACTTGTGTAACTATATTCCAGTTGATAAAAAACAAACAAACAGGTTAATTGGTTAGTTTTGATTTGCTTACTCAAAGTGAAGTAACACCGAACTTCTATCGACAGTTCTTATTTAGAGCTTATTCTAATATCTTTATGGTACTCATTGGAATTTTGCGTTTTCTGATCAGAATGAAATTACTCGATCTAGACTTTCCCTGGTGCTGAATTGTATAAACACTTCACAGATAAATCTAAGGCAAGCACATGAGAGCGGATACACCAGAATGGCTTTACGTGTTGATTAGTTGTGCGGAAAAGCTTTATTGGTCACGTGATCGGAAAGCAATTGTGCCACTAGAATTCAAATATTTTGTTTCTGAGGGAGATGTCATACAAGTAACTTTACACTCTTGTCTTTTTTTTAAACATATATATAGAACATTTAAGTACTAAGTGTTTCGCTAGATTTGTCGAGATAATCTTCTAGATGGGTCCTTTCACCTACTGAGAATTTTTGCATAGTGCAAATAGACTTTAACGAATGAATTATTGTCAGTAATGCAAAGTAGTTAGAAACGATAAGAATAATAATTAAATATTTCTATTTAGGATAACAAGTAATAGAAATAAATCTTTATATTTGACATCATCGTAGCTTGCAGAAAAATGTGGAGGATAACTTATTGAATAAAGGAGTAGAAAGAGAAAATAGACACATTTTCTAGACAGGCCAGGAAACTTATGAATTCGGAGTATTATTAGTAAAAAGTGTTGATTTAACATTTTCAGACTGCCAGCAAAACGTTAGATAAGGAAAGAGCCTTCCTTTGGAAACGACGTCTATATCACATGACAGTTCAAGTGATACTGACGCTAAGTGATTGCTTTTTCCACGATTTAGGACATGTAATTTTTACTTTTTGTTTACTAAAAGAACTGGATGGCGAATCGCCATATAATATGTTTTCACAAAGTTAAATCGCTCTTTTTTGTGTTTGTTTTTCATAACTATTAATGATCTAACTTGTAACCATAGCAACAGCATCTTTGATGCAATCGCTTTTCAACCTCTTCCTCTTCAATTAAGTTTTGTCCCTGACACCATTTTCCAAAGGCGTTTCGCAAAAGTAGCAAGACAGTGACTTGGGCACAGAATAAACTGACATAGTTGTAAAATGAGCAGTTCGCGCTGTTGACCATCAAGGGAAGTAGTCATCTGAGTTTCCTTCTTATTCTGCCGATGAAAAGCTTTATGACGTTATACTAAAGCGAATTTATCCGAGGAACAAAAACAAATTATCCGTACACATGATATATATGTACACGATATAAATAGGCTGTTATTTACAGAAATGAATTAGAATAGATAACATTATGGGAGCTTAATTAAAGTCTGTTACATATATAACCTGTATAAAAGCCAGTGTATGTCACGTCACGCTTGACTTCTCGAAATAGGAGGAGTCATAAAGCCAAATGCATTTATCAAGATGGAATAGTTCAATTGAGGTCTGCCAATTACGATTTTAGTGACGGGGGTGCAAGGTCTCCGTGAGTGGGTGGGGTGCCATGAAATCTTATAAGTGTAGTGAGTGTTGGTATAATAAGCCTAAAGTAAAGACTTAGTATTGGATCACCTAGTCTAGAGCCAAGTGCATAAAATTTATCATGAAAGTAAAAATATCGATTTAATTTTAAACTTCAATCGTTTCTGAATTAAGCTATTTTATGTTATATCACCAACGTTTTTAATAAAAGAACAAACCTCTTTAATCAACGTAGACTTTAAATTAAAAAATCAACAAATATTTTTCCAGTTTCGTTGTCTATACATTTCATTTTATACTTTCAGTACATAGCTTAACAACAATATTAGGCTCTACATTTGTTGCTAAGCAACATGACATAAAAACAATTATTGGAAGTAATGTTACCGAAACGCAATGGCTTTTCTATATATTAAAAGTTGTTAACCTAACTGACTTTTACCAATAATTATTTTATGAATACGCCACGAATTCATTTCACGAATGATCTTAGTTTTGATTGGTTCACAAAGGAATTTACCGACGTTTGACTGCCCCCACTGCACTTTTCTGCCTCTTTGTTGGTCAAGCTTGATTTCGCAAAATATATTTATTTTAGTTAGCTATGAAATGTGAGGTGAGGGTATACTATGGTATTTCTTATTACTTTATTTTTTACTTATTCTTTTATTTTTGACGAGCTATACGCTAATATATATATATACAACCTAGTTTTTTGATTAGCGAAAAAAATAAAAGTAATTGTATGTGTATTCATAACTTCATAGTCAAATTACGAAACTAACCGGTAAAATAATTAGATTCAACAAATATATGTACAAATAGTTGATGATAAATCGTCTCAGAAAGGGTTACTCGGTGGTTTAAACAAGGATGTGTATTCTGAATAGTTTTTCACTCTGTTGTGTATATATAATTTAACGCTAATTGATATATATATATATATAAACGCTAGATACGACGTGCACGGGTCCAGTATTGACTTTTCATGGTGTATTATTTTCACGTTTGCTTTTCGATAAACCTGAATAACAAAAGTATCATATTATACCTTATTATTTGAGGAACAAGTAAAGCATACCTTTTGATTGTTTCGTTCCCCTAATAAGCAAGTCGTGACACGTTTAGGAAACCTTATATTTATAGAAGCGTGCACAGTGTGTTATAATAATTTCAGTTATTTCTGCTGTATTTTCACATTATTGGATATTTAGGATATATCGTTGTAAACAGTAATTCGGTAGAAAATTCTACTTTGAGTTTTGTTATTGAACCGGTTCTAAGAAAATAACCAGTTATTTAAAACATTTCGTACCAGTTCAGTAGAGATACATCCGGGTCACAAAAGGCTTATTAAAGACCATTTATGGCCCATTAAGCGACATAGATTACAGTAGTTAAAGAAAATGATATGTTATCAGCTGGGACACTTAAACTGGTTCGCAAACTGAGCTCAGATAGAATAAAAACGGGCGAGTGAAACACAAACAGTAAATTTGTTTGACAAAAACGAACGAAACATTAGTGATGATACTTGAATAAATCTTCTTATGCATAAGCCAGCTCAAGAGACTTAAGTTAACAACTGGCACGAAGGATTGTTTACTTCAAACCACGAGATTTCGTAAAAAATTAAAAAATTATACATACACACAGATACATATTTATAAATAATAATAGATAAAGCTATATTCTCTCGTTAGACTACCTAAAAAAGATAGAATAAAAACCTTTGATCTAGCAAGAAGCTCTGAGACTCAAAAGTGTCAAATAACTTCAATATTATAATTTGTTGTCACGTATTTATCACAGCTTGTCTTTGTTTCTGTAATTTAACAGCTAGATTTCCATCCGCACTTTCCGACGTGGATTAGAAGAAACCAATAAACTACTTTATGAAACGAAATATAAAACTAAGATTGTTTGTTTGAAGTTAAGCACAAAGCTACACAACTGGCTATCTGTGATCTGCCTACCACTGTTATCGGTTTCTAGCGTTGTAAGCTCGCAGACATACCGCTGTGCCACATAACTAGATAGATAGATAGATGGACGAACGGGCAGACAGGCAGCCGGATAGAAAACTAAATTTCTAATTAGGTTTTTATTACTTCTACATAGAACCTATACAGGAAGCATGAAATTAATCTCTAATATCACATGCTTTAAACATGCAACGAAATAATAACAATAGCAATGTACTTACACGATTTTTGTTTATAAGTTGTTTTTAATATATGTCAACTTTACAAACATCTGTTTCTATTTATGATTGTTTTAATTTTCTTCACTGATAACAAGCCTAAGGAAGTGTCCTGATTTGTTGGTATTATTTTCAGAGCTACAGTCTGGCAATACAACTTGACCCAGAGATATGCCATGCCCACTTAAACCTTGGTGTAACTTATCATCTTCAGGTAAACTAGAAGGGTCAGACAAAACTCATTTTATTGTTTATGTGTGTGTGTGTGTGTGCGTAACTGAATCATGGCTTTATCGTTTGTACTCTGCCATGAATGTTAAGGCTAATTAAGTATTTGTTGCTTGATGATACGGCTGAACTGCTAAGATAAGAGTGTATATTCCTGTTCCTTTGTTTCTATAGTAACTTGCCAGTTTAGTTGTTAAGGAGAATATATGCTCTCTGTTTTCATCAAAGTAAATTTTATTTGATTTAAATATTAATAAATGATATATTTTGTATTCCACACCACGTGATTCGAAAAGTAGCTGACCGACCCATTTTGAATTCAGAAAATAAGTCAACATTATACAATACAATTATTTTTATAATCAGTGTTTGAAAGACTTATCGTTCCCGAGATTTAAAATTACAGTATTCTAGCTTATGTGAAGCCATGCAAACTTTACAAACTTAAACCATATTTACGTATATTCTTGTTCGAAAATAATAATTGGAATCAGGGCTCGTAAGCCTCTTAAGATCTTTTCAAATTGTTTCCTAAGTTACTATACTTAAAATAAAACTTAATAATCCTTAAGCTGTTTCACAAATCTGTCTTAGGAACATCTTGTCTGAAAACGACTTAAGAAGTATCTTAAAAACACAATGTGTCGGGAATATATCGATTTTTACATCAAAATGGATGGTCAATTGTGTTAAATATGCCCTAATGTTGTAAAAGTTTATATTTCATAAATATAACGTATTCTTCTTTGTTATTCATGTTATTATGTTCAGTTAATAGAAGAAAAGTGATAATTCAAAACACTATAAGTCATAACATTTTTAAAAAAAATTGTTAGTCTCACCGATCATTGATCACTTTTTTTTCTCCTGTTTTTTCAGTTACAAAAATATTTTATTTAAAAACAATTTTAAATATTTTTATATCATAACAGGTAGGTAAACAACGATTTATAAGTATAAGGAAGAGTTTTATTGATGATGGAACATACTACATCTTTCGAGACAGAACACTGATATCCTGAAGAAGACAGACTAATGTTCTGTCGAAACATATAGTATGTTTCACCAGCAATAAAATTTTTCTTTATGCTTATAAATCGCTCTTTTCTCTCCCGTTATTATATTAGCATATCGTGCTTCCTTCTTCAAATATATCTATGTAATGTATGTTGCAATAAAAAATAATTATCATATGAAATTTTTGGTGGCTCTCGTGTTTAGTTCTACCTATTTACCTATCGCTAAGTTAGGAAATACCTTTAAAAGGTTCGTAAAATATGAGACATTTTGTGAATCAATCTTAGGAAAAAGGTTTTTCGAAGTTATTTCTTAGGAACTATTTCTTTCATAAAATGTTTTCGTAAAACTTGTCCCAAATATCTTTTTTACATTACAAGAGGAAATGACATCTTTATCATATTACAATGTTAGATTTTCGTTCACCGTGTTTCTGCGTTATAACGCTGGCATTTGTCTCAATTTATAAAATGTTTTATTTTGCGTTACATGGTTCGTGTTACTGGTTCTGTCACTGTACATGATCGGTACATAAAAGTGAAAACTAGCTGAATAAACAGTATATGTAAATTCTGGGGTAAAATGTATCCGTGTAGGAGTAGTTAATTTATGATAATCTGATGTAAGAGAGCTATTAGCTAATTATATGTGGAGTTTTCTAATATTTTACAGGGTTGGTACCTGGAAGCTCTTAAACATTACCAAACAGCCCAGACCTTAGATCCACAGAATCCTGTGGTTTTAGAGAACCTAGAGAAGCTGAAGAAAAAAATGTGGAAAAAGTCAGCGCTTGAATGTAATGAAGAAAGTAAATTTTGTAGAACCTGGTGAAGTTTCGATTCATGTAATGTTTACACTATTGTGTCGTTTAAAACGGATTACGTTACAGCATAATAAAGTGAGAAAAACTTGAGAAAATTTAAGTTAATGTGAAATTTAGATCTGGCAAAGTCCCGAAACTGACAAGAAAAAAACCGTTTAAGGTGAAAAATTCCAAAATGGCTAAACTAATGAAGATGATAACATTTATAAACTGGTGATGATTAGAATTTGGTGGAGGGAATAACATAGTAAAATGAAGAGCCAAATACAGCGTTAAATGTGGTAAAATGGAGAACTTAGTAGAGAGAAGTTGATAAAGTGGAAAATCAGATGATCAGCAGAGCATAACGATGGTTAAGATTTGCTGAAATTAATAATTGTTAAATGAATAACCTAGTAAACAAATAACTTGGGGAAGTAAACAGCGAGGTTTATTTGGAACCTGATGATATGAAAAGCTAAGTAAAGTGAAGAAGCTGCAATCTTGAAAAATGTAATGATTAGAGGTTATTGAAGTATATATATATATATTAGTATAAAGAGGAATCTGATACTGATTAGGAACTGATGATACGAAGAGCTCAGTATAGTGAAGAAGCTGGTTTGTTGACGAACGTGTTGATAAGAACCTTGTGAAGTGTACATACTTTTATAAAGAGTAATCTAATGCTGACTAGTACTTAATGAAATGAAAAACTTAGTAAAGTGAAGAAGCTGGCGAAGAACCTGATGAAGTAAATATATTGGTAAGATTAAGAATCTGGTGGAGTAAACACAATGAAGTACAGAACTAAGCATTTACGAAATAAAATGATGGTGAACCTAACCCAACTTTCATTAGAACTTGACGAAAAAATAAACTTAATAAAGTGAATAACCCCGATAGAGTAAATAAGTGTGATTAGTGATGAGACAAGTCAAAGTAAGAATCTTGGAAGAAAATATTGTGTTGTTTATTTGTTTGTTTGTTTTCCTTTGCACTTGTTTCCAACAGACTGGAAGATTGAGTTCCTAAGAAAATGGACATGGTAAACAAATATAGTTCTATTCGAGTGTGATGTTTATTGTTTTCAGTAAAGATTTCCGCGTGTTTCCAAAACACTTGGGAACTTATATGATTCACTAGTGGACTTGCTGTCTATGCAACCAACTTCAGTCACATGTAAGTGTCATGTTCGATGTAGTAATACTATATGAACAATGATAAATAAATGTTTACCCAAAATATTTTGGAAACTTTTGTCATCAATCAAATATATCTTCTAATTCACCCGAGTTTCATACTCTGCCAAGAAAATCTAGTGATCGCTAGATGTGCCTGATTCTTCCTGGCATTTCGTTGTACAGTATACGTTGAGCTGCCCACACGTAGGTGTATTTAGTTCATCCTTATCTGCCTGCCAATCCGTTGTGACTTGTCTACGTAATATGTCTATCGACGTCTGTATTTGATGTACCCTTTTCTGTCTATCAATAAATGTATTTAATGTATCTTGTCTGTCTGTCGGTATCTTTGTTTAATTTACCATATTCTGTCTATCGGTGTCTGTGATTAGGGTACTCTTTCTGTTTGTCAATATCTTTGTTCAGAGGACCTTGTCTGTTTGTCGGTATCTGTGTTTATTATGATTTGTCTGTCTGTCGGCATCCGTGTTTATAGTACTTTGTCTGTCTATCTATCTCTGTTTAGTTTACTTTACTATCTACAAATACGTTTTTAATGTACTTTGTCTGACTAACGGTATCTGGATTTAGTGTACTTGTCTGTCTGTCTTTATCTGAGTTTAGTGTACTTTGTCTGTGTTTAGTTTACTTTACTATCTACAAATACGTTTTTAGTGTACTTTGTCTGACTAACGGTATCTGGATTTAGTGTACTTGTCTGTCTGTCTTTATCTGAGTTTAGTGTACTTTGTCTGTGTTTAGTTTACTTTACTATCTACAAATACGTTTTTAGTGTACTTTGTCTGACTAACGGTATCTGTATTTAGTGTATCTGGTTTGTTTGTCGATATTTGTGGTTTGATTATCTTGCTCGTCTATAATATCTGTGTTTAATACACCCTTGTCTGTCTATCAACACATGTGTTTAATTTATCCTGTTTGTCTATGTTGTTCATATTTAACGTTGCCTTGTCTCTCTGTGTTTAGTTTACCTACAACTTCTACAGAGAGTTGTGTTTACTCCATTTTAGATAACAAGAAGTAAATTTAGTTTACTTTGGGTTAAAAACCAGGAGTTAGGTTTTCTACCTTAGTATATCTGATTTTAGTTAGGTTTAGCCTACACTAGTATGTTTTACACCGGTATGTTTTAGCCTACACTAGTATATTTTACACCGGTATGGTTTAGCCTACACCAATATATTTTACACCGGTATGGTTTAGCCTACACTAGTATGTTTTACACTGGTATGGTTTAGCCTACAGCAATATATTTTACACTGGTATGGTTTAGCCTACACTAGTATGTTTTACACCGGTATGGTTTAACCTACACTAGTATGTTTTACACCGCTATGGTTTAGCCTACACTAGAATGTCTTATACCGGTATTGTTTAGCCTATAATAGAATGTCTTGCACCAGTTAGGTTTAGCCTGCACCTGTATGTGTTTCACCAGTTAGGTTTAATCTATACTAGTATGTTTTACACCAGTATGGTTTAGCTTACACCAAGATGTTTTACCACGGCATGGTTTAGCCTGCACTATTATATTACACCAGTTAGGTTTTGCCTACACTGGTACGTTTTACACCGGTATGGTTTAGCCTACACTAGTATGTTTAACATTAGCTGAGTTTAAACTACATTAGTATGTTTTACACCGGTATGGTTTAGCTTACACCAAGATGTTTTACCACAGCATGGTTTAGCCTGCACTATTATATTACACCAGTTAGGTTTTGCCTACACTGGTACGTTTTACACCGGTATGGTTTAGCCTACACTAGTATGTTTAACATTAGCTGAGTTTAAACTACATGAGTATGTTTTACACCGGTATGGTTTACAATAGTTGTGTTCATCCTACTCTAGTATGTTTAACATTAGCTGAGTTTAAACTACATGAGTATGTTTTACACCGGTATGGTTTACAATAGTTGTGTTCATCCTACACTAGTATGTTTAACATTAGCTGAGTTTAAACTACATGAGTATGTTTTACACCGGTATGGTTTACAATAGTTGTGTTCATCCTACTCTAGTAGGTTTGCACCAGTTAGATTTAATCTACACTAGTGTTACTGACAATAGTTGGACTCAGTCTTTACTAGTATGTATGTATGGCAAGTGGTAGTTATGTAAACTGTTATTTATTCTGTCTGTTTGTAGTGTTTTTCTTCTTTCTCAGACATTTGTTGATTGTATATTAATATGCTGTTTATTGATAGTATGTTACATTTTTCATAGACTGTCTAGTGATTGCCGTAGTACATACTTAGTAGACAATCTATTGGTAGATATGTTTAATGTTCTAGCCTGCAGATCGATACACCTGTATAGCCTACCCTGACCATGCCTTCTGTAGGTGTGTTTAGTCTACACTGGCCTGTTTTCCTGTAAATGTGTTTGTCGAGGTCTGACCATGCATTCCTGGTGGTAAGCATATTTATCCTTGTCTGATATGTCGAATCTGCCCTAATGTGCTTACCGGTAAGATTTGTTGAATCCACCATGACCTACCTTCCTCAATGTGCGTTTAGTCTTGCCTCTTTTTGTTTAGTTTATTCTTCTGAGCTCTACAGTAGGAGTACTCAGTATACCATACCATTGCCAACCGGTATTCATATTTATATATATTACATAGGACTTTTAAGAAATACCCTGATTAAAAAGAAAAGATAAAACCAGAAAACGTCGAGACCAATTTCATTTCTTATTTCTTTCCTTCCTAAAAGTAAATAAAATTTAAATATCATATAATAGTTAACTATTAAGATCAGTTCGCTGTCTGTACACAGTACGTTGTAGATATATTCAAAGTAATTTTTTCTATAAAACATGTTTCTAGTGGGGGGATCGACTATCTCCTTACATCTAATCAATTTCTCTCTGTTAGACTTGCGTGGTGAAACCGGTAATGAATGTAATAACAATTTACCGATTCTTTGTCCATCAAGGTTTTTATATTCGCAACTACTGACTTCATGGAGACCACATTTCCGCAACAGTAAGGAAATGAGCACGAATACAGAGGAGCGCGAATAACGCATAACTAAAATATTCTTTTGCCTATCTTCATCATTCGTTTATATATATAGTTTCATTCTTAGCTTGTCGCTTTCTCTTATGCTCTAAAAGAACGGTCTTTATCTTCATTGATCTTAATTATCTTTTAATTATGATGGCGATGACTGTGACCCTGTCTTCATATATCTTAATCATTTTATAATTATGATAACGACTATGATAAGCCTACGAACATTTTGTTCTTATCGCGCTGTTTTTTACAGTATAGGCGATCATATACATTGCATTTCTGTGCTGTTTCGGCGAGTATAGACTTGTGTAGCCTTGAAAGACATAATTATATACACGATACACAGAATAGTTTTCAGCCTTAATAACTACTAATCTCTATTAAATATCATATATATCAATTCAAATAGTCCATTGTCAGTCCCATAGCAACAAGATAAACGAAAAGAGTCCATTATTAATTCGAAAGCAACAAATCAAGTAGTAGAGTTCATTCTAAGTCCCAAAGCAACAAAAACGAAAAACGTATAATGCTATTCTAAGAGCTACAAGAATTTTATCAATGTATGCAGATGACCAACGTTAGAATTCTTCGTTAGGCTTAACAGTCTGAAGTTTTTTTTCTTGTTTTATTTGTTATATACCAAACATAATAATTTTCTTTAAAGCCAAGAACAACCAACATTTTCTAGTATTATATGTATATAATTTACCGACATGAAAACTCCGTTATTCTAATACCAACCAAAGTTTTCTCAATACTTTGTATTGTACCGGCATCAAAACTTCGTTACGCCAATAGCAACAAAGGTTTTCTCAGCACTTTATGTTATAATATGACGACATGAATAATTCTTCGTTGGGTCAACAGCAACTAAAGTTTTCCCAGGACGTTATATTATAACAAAACTACACAAAGAATTATTTGTGGAGCCGACAGCAACCAAAATTTTCCCAATACTTCATATTATGCTACACCGACATCGAAATTTCGTTAGGCAAATAACAACCAATATTTTTTCATGATTTTATATGATAATGTTACGACAGCGGAAGTCAAGTGACGCTGGTAACAAGTGATGAGCTTCTAGAAGGGTACTCATGAAGGCTCGAGTGTTTGCCAGACGCCCTCTATTTTAATGTTGTTACGACAGCGGAGGTCACGTGACGCTGGTAACACGTAATGAGTATCAAGAAAGATCGAGGAACTTGTCGAACATCCTAGCGGTTGCTAGAATGGCTCTCTTATAGTATAAAACCCGGCAAATAAAGTGACGGCAACAACTGAATAGCAGACAGAGAGATTGAAGATTTAGACAGACAATTGAGTCAAGCGCGGTAGTAAGTAAAGTGCGTGAATCGTTCGTTGAAAATTATAGCGTGTGTTTAAGTTAAAGGGACTGTGGAAATTAAGTGTATTGCAAAGTTGAATTGAGAAAGAATAAACTAGTTTTATTTGATAAAGGACTTGTATCGCTGAAGTTCTTCGGAAAGAATTTTTACGAGTAATTAACTAACGACCAGAGATGTAACAAATTGATGTCAGAAGTGGGATTTAAAAAAAAAAAAAGATGGAAACGAGAAGCGGCAAATCAAACTATAGCTTAGCAGATTTGATGGCAGCAATACAAGAACAACAAAAGAAACAAGATGAACGAGAAAATAAACAAGAAGAGAGATTACAGCAGTGGTTGGAGGAAAAAGAAAAGAAACAAGAAGAACGAGAAAAGAAACAAGATGAAAGGCTACACCAGTGGTTGGAGGAGAAAGAAAACAAACAAGAAGAGAGACTACAGCAGTGGCAACTGGAAAAAGAAAGGAAACGGGAAGAAAGTTTCCAACAGTTGCGGGAAAGTCAGCAGCAACTACAGGGAAGTCAACAACAGTTGCAAGAAGTACAAATGGAAAACATTAGTAAATTCTATAATGAATTAGATACATTGAAGGACGATTTACTGTCTTTTACACCAGGAGGATATATTAACCATGAACCTAATCAGCCCCAGACAACAGGAACTTTCTTCCAGACCCGGC